AACAACCTTATTTATATAAAGGACATGTTGACTATGACAGTATCTACTTAACAAAACTTTTGATAAAAGTAAACTTGAATTGGACACAATCCTCCAAGCTTGTTTTGCCAACAAAGCTTGATTAAAACACATGAGATCCCTAAACCCCAATCCACCCCACTCCGTAGGATGACAAACATGTTTCAATTTCAAAAAAGACCTTTTTCTCGCTTCGATGGCCAAAGAAACTTTCTTACAATGGCTGTAAGTTTTTTATTTATTTTTTATTTATTTCTTTTTTTTTCTTTAGTTTTTTTTTTAAACAAAAAATGAAGGCATTCTAAAATAGACATTAAGTAAACAAGGATAAAATGTAGCACATGCTTGACTAGCACCTCCTGACCATCAAAATTCAAAACTTCACATTTCCAACCTTGAAGCTTGCCTTGAACTTTTCTTTTATCCTCTATTCTAAACACTGATTTTCAAAGTTGTTTTAGGCTTAAAAATGTGATTTAAACCTTGTTAAAGATGGAAGGGTTAGCCACACTTCTATAAGCTTATCCTTAGTTGTGCTCTCTTTGTTTTCTTCATACTTTTGCTATTTTTTCTTCACTTTTAGATTGATTTCAGCACTTTTTGAATATATGTGTATTAAAGCTTTTAATAGATAGCTTAATTCTTGAATCGCTCTCTTTGTTTTCTTCATACTTTTGCTATTTTTTCTTCTTTTTTAGATTGATTTCAGCACTTTTTGAATATATGTGTATTAAAGCTTTTAATAGATAGCTTAATTCTTGAATCTAACTCTCTTCTTCAAAGTTGTTATAAGCTCTCTTCTAGTTTTCTCTTTGAAGTATGGAAATTGATGTCTCATCTATATTCCATGAGCAGGAAGATGAGCTTACAACAACTCTTTATAGCTTTCATTCATTTGCTTAGTCTCGTTTCGATTTTGCTTTCAAAAATGGCTTTCTCTAAACCTATTCTCTCTAAATTTCAGTATTCACTTACTCTTATTTTCCATGAGATATAGTAGGTTTTGGCCATCTCATCTTCTTAATTTTCCTTAGCTTTGTATTCATTGATTTCCATCCCATTGCTTTATTAATTATCATCTAAATACTCTTGGGATGTTTGATGACTTGTGAAGCAAATGTACTCTCTCCTTGAAAATCTTCATGACAGGAGGGGACAGGAGGGAATAGGAGGGATGGACATCATTTGGAAACCCTCTGTTTTTGGTATGTTCCAGTTTTGTTACAACAGGTCTTTCTCCAGAAGCAATGGCAGATCGGCCATAATCTTGTACGGCAGACCAATTCATTAGGCCGGTCGGCCGACCACTTTGTTTGTACGACAGTGGTGGTTTTTCAGCAAAACAGAGCAAATCTTCAGGTCCAAAACAAAACTACTTACTAACTATGAACAGGGCAGCTTCTAGCAATAAGCAGAAGGGGTTTCTGGAGAATGTTCTTACTTGCGCATGTGCAATTTTAGATTAGTCGCTTTGAGATTTGTGTTTGTGATAATTAGTTAATTAGGACATTCTGACCCTCTTGTATAAGGGCAAATTTGTAACACTTGATGTATGTCTTCCAACTTCGATTTATTTCTCCATTTTATTTAAATGCTTAATGTGGTTGTACAAAACATCATGTTTTTTGTTTCATATCATTTCCATGCCTTGTATCCATTTTTGCATGCATTTAAGGTTCGGCTAATCATACTTGACATCATTGATTATGTGCATTTCTTTAGGATTATGCATTTTTCTAACTATCTTCTTTTCTTTGGCTTGCCTCGTTTGAGTACTACGTGAACATTTTTACTTTAGCATAACATATATGTGTTTGTGTTGCTGTGTCGAGCATACTCCCATAAGGCTACTTGCTTACTTGAAATATCTCTATGATTGCCTGTTGATGGATGCTATTTTGCTTAGATTAGAATGACTTTGATTATTGTACATATGAGCTCGCTTTTCCTTTGAGTTGCATTTATTCAAAACTCTTTTAAAAAAAGCATGAAATCAAAGCAATCCAAAATAAGTGACGTGGTTTATACTTGTTTGCTTCACATAGTGATGTTAGCATATTAAATAATCAGAACATGAGCATATAATGTCCATAAAATTCACATCATGATTTAGTAGAGGTTGATCTTTGATTGGGTGAGTGTGATGCTCAATTTATGACCTTCCATTTTCATACCTAAGTTCTGAAACCGAGACACTTTGGTTATGACGGACAAGTAGCCTTTGGCACGAGTCATGGGTTTCCTAAATTTTCAAAAAATATTTAGGTGACGATTCTAAAATCTGACAATGTAATCCATTTTTGGCATCTTTGATGATTAATAGATTTTTTAGGATTTGCTGGATTTGTACTCTTATTCATTTTTCTGTTTCACATTACACTTGTGAAACCAGATTTAGAACCACCAGAGTCCGAACTATAGGGAAATCGCATCTGAGGAGACTAAACCCCTCTGAGTAGCGCGAAAAACTAGCTACATCTACGTTCAAGGAGAGAAATCAATTTGTTTGTGTTTTTTTCATGTTTGTAAAGGCGGTTCAAGTCTACTCGAGGTTCAAGGAGAGAAATCTAATTGGGCTCCTAATAATTTTTTAAGTTGTATTTTTAGTTTTTAAATCCTATAATTTTGTTTAAAATCCATAACAATTACCTAACCTTTGCAATCAAAATAATTTTGACAAAACTTAATTTTTTTGTCTTGACTAAGAAAATGTGTAAGTGTAATGATGAGACTCCTTTTGTGTACAATGAGAGAGATTGTTTGCTCTTTTTTCTCACTTGGTCAAGAGTCAAGATAAGTGATGAGGTGATATTGTTTGATAATTTAAGATATAATCATTTTATTAATTTATTGAGAGAATTTTGGTTACTTTTTTTATTGTTGAAAATTATTTTGACTATAATTTATTTTATGTGTATACATATTGTATAGTGAATATAGAATTAGTAAGCTCTTCTAATACCTTTGGGCCATCATTGGTTGTGTGATTAGGATAATTCTTAAGTGTGCATGGCTTATGTATTTGCGTAAATTCTTATAAATATGCATAAATTACCTCCCAAATCTACATAAATTTTCACAAACATACGTAAGTTAACTCATAAAAATTTAAAAAATCACAACTTATGTATATTTGTGAGAACTTACGCGATTTTGTGAAATAACTTATATATTTGTGGGAATTTACGCAAGTGCATATGGTATGCACCTTGGACACCCAAACACTTCCCGTGTGATTATTGGATTTGTAGGATACAACCCAAAAAAAAAAAAAAAATCTAATGTTTCGTTTGTTTTGATAAAAAATATTTTCTAATATTTTGTATGATAAAAAAAAGAAGTGAATGTGAAAAGTTTTTCATTATCAATAAAAAAATAAACAAAAAAATATATACATTTTCATTCTTTAAAACAAATTTTGAAATAGAACCTTGCCGCCACCAATTTACATTGCCTCCTCCACTACCATCACTATTCCCCACCACGGCCACCATCATTGCTATCTTATACTCATCACATCACTTTTAAGTTCATAATTGTATGAAAAATATTTTCTACAAATTATAAATTTTATCAAAACAAACGAACTCATAAAACTAGACAATCAAATTGGTTAATAGAGGATACAAAACCACTTTAAAATAAAAATCAAAGGGAAAAGAGGCAATTGAATTGGTCAACTGAAGATGCAAAATCACTCAAAAAATATCAACCAAAAAAAATAATAAATAAAAATAGAGAAAAGAAAAGAGGCCTGGAATGAGGTGGGACAGGACGCATTGGTTTCTAACTAGCAACAAACAACAGTGTTTGGTTCAATGAAAGAATATTTGAATGGACTATTTATTTTTTAATTTCTTTATGAAATAATTATTATTTTATCATGATAAATGATGATTTTATTTGTAAGATATTTATAATTTTTTGGGTTTAATCAAATATAAAAATAAATATTTTAATAAAATGATCATATTATTTCAATTCATTCTAATAAACCAAACATAAGGTTAAGATTTTTGTCCACATGATTTCTTAGTCGCCAATTGTCACATTTCGCGACCAAAAAGTTTGGTCGCCAATTATTACATTTCGCGACCAAATTTTTTGGTCGCCAATTATCACATTTCGCAACCAAAAAAATTGGTCGCCATTTGTGTCTTTTCGCGACCAAAACTTTTGGTCGGCAAAAGTGAGATTCCACGACCAAGAGCTGTTTTGGTCGGCAATATATGTATTTTTTGCGACCAAAACTCTTGGTCGGCAATTGTCATTTTTTACAAAAAAAAATTATTTATTTGTCGCGACTAATAAATTGGTCGCCAAAGCACGAAAACAATACACATGTAATTCCTAATAATTCATTCAATCCATAATAAACCTATAATTTTAAAGCATCATTCAAATCAACTGAATCATTAACATTGGACACAATACATAATTCATTAACATTCGACACAATACAACTATTCTAAGTTTTCATTCACAAGTCACATCCATCTAGCATAACAATTTGAAACATAACTATTTGTTATTCATGCGCAGCTATCAACAAATGAAAAAAATATATTCTAGTCCAAATGAACAAAAATCAATCATAGGTGTGAAACCAATCAATGCACTATGCTTGAAATTGTGAATCAGCTTGATGGATTTGATCTTTAGATATCTCTTTAAATCTCAAGCTCGAGCTTACCAGATTCAATCTTTGCTCGGTCCAAAAGCTCATTTATTAGTGAAACCAACGCTCTTTCACTGCCCTGTGCAGTTCTGAATAGTCTTGTTAAGTTACATCCAGATCTGTGTCCATTAGCATCTGCAACATTCCTGTTGAATAAACATATATACAGACATCACACAACAACCCCACTTTCTTTGTTTATTTTTAAATAATTTTTTAATGTTTTCCCCAAAGCAATGTATTTAAATGACTTAAAATGATAAAGGACAATAACAAAAACTTACCAAGAACGCCATTCATTGGGGTTCTGATCTCATGGGACACAGTAGCAAGGAACTACAGAGGATTGAAATTCAATTAGAACCATGTAGACATATTAGGTGAAGCCTAACAAAATTTCAATACATGAACTACAACTATCAAATACCTGTGATTTAGCAACATCAGCTGCCTCTGCTCGTTTCTTCAGCTCTATCATCTCATGGTAATCACCCTCAACTTTGGCTATTCAATTCATTGTTGCGTTGATTATATGCCCAAGAAGCAATGCAATTACAAGGATACCAATTGAAATCATCATCACAAACCATGGGCATGGTGGTTTTTGTTTGAATCTGCTTCAATCTTTCTAATCTTGTCTGCATCCTGAAATTTCTAGCTGCACTCATTATTTATTCATTCTTGAATTAGAGATTTGTATACAATATATTACCTAAGAGAGTCATCTCCATGAAAATAAATAATTATAGAATTCAATTTTTCAAAAACCAACAATGTATAACAACAAATAATTAAAAGCACAAAACAAGAAAAACTCCAAGTAATTAGAGTACATACATCCTGCAGATTTACATGCCTAATTATAGATGTGTATTGGTGCCACTGGTGTGTTGGACATTTAACATTTCTGAACTGAATTCGAACGCACCTGCCAAACATTTTATGGTATGAGAAGTGAAAGTTCAATCAACTGTTACTAAAATGAGGTCACCTAATGAAGAACAGAAAATTCGCTCATTTATCTTGAAAGTGATCATATTTATGTTCTTTTAGTACATGACAATATTCGTTATTTTGAATTTCATTTGTAGAATGGCTGCCATTTATTCTTGTCACTTTGCATACTCAAAATATCAGATTTCCACTTCGAAATTACTATAAGTACTGTTGGCAGTCGTTCCCTTTCTATGGGACATCAAAATACAACCTTAATTTTCCCAACAACCCTAGTAATTAGCAATATATGAATAGATGTTCATGGCAACCGGTTGCGTCTTGTAAATAAGAAGTGACAGAACAATACCAGGGTTTTCTCAGCACATTACTCTTTTTTTCATCTATACAAAACAGAATTTGGACTTTCAACTGACATTAATAAGTTTAACATACAGAGCATAGGCTAGTATTCAAACATCATTGCCTCCTAATTTAAAAATAAATAAAATAAAAAAATCATAAATAACAATTTAAGCAAAAAATTGAGTTGAATAATAAGTATATTTAAAAACATAAAAAGGAACATACATGGCACTGATGTGACATTCATCATCAGAAAGGCAGGTGCAATTGACAGTACAGTCATACATAAGGGAGGAGTCCACTATTGGTGTTTGCCAGTTCAAGTTTTTGTCATAATGTTTCAAATTGAAATTCCAGCCTTTTTTACCCTGTTGTTCAACTATTTCACCAAGAGCTTCCACTGCAGAAATCAAAGTCATGTTAGCCTTTAAAGTAGTTAGAGATAAGTGATATAACATGGAGAAATGTCTATGTATCAGCATCATTAAGTATGGTTAGACATCTTAGTATTTTTACAAATTGTGCCTAAAATGAAGTTCATGCATGAATAAACAAGGACAAATTGGTTAAACAAGATAAATAGTCATATCTGGAACCTTTTTTGAAAATGCCATTTTCAAATTGGTATTACCAAAGTGCCTGATCAGGAAACCTAACCATCTGACAGTTCAAACCTTTAAATTAACTCATATGTTATGACTACACAACATGATTATAGAAGGTTTGTCTTTAACTCATGCCTGTTACATCAAATATAAACTTCAAGGGCATTGAAGAGTAATCATATAATGCTGCTGTGATTTGTTAGTTTATATAATGAATGTAACCAAAATGAAGACAACACTGTGTCTATCCAGCTGCTTTAATACTACAGTGCTTCTATCCAGCTGCTTCTAAACAACAAAACTTGAGGAGTTATTAGCAGCAGGCAAAGGTTCAAAATGTTGAAATGGATATAAAAGTTTATTAAGTAAAAATCATGCCATTGCCCAGTGCTGAATCCTATAAGGCAGGTAGCTAGTAGAGGTGGACTTGAATAGGCATAAGAAGAAGAAACAGAAGAGAGAAAGAAAACAATGACAGAAACAGAAAAGAGAAAGAAAACGACAATAGAAACAGAAACAAGAACATTAAGTACAATAAAAAAGAAAATTAAAGAGAATCATTTGATAACCTCTTCCAACAAAACAAAAAATAAGCTAACACCCCGCAAAGTATACACTTTAAAGGCCAACCTTTGAGTAACTTCCATCAAGAACTATGGCTAGACTACAGTCGGCAATAGCATCAGCAATTTGGCCCAGAGATTGGTGTGCAGCAACACGGTTGCAAAAACAAATGGCCGCAAAAGGACATGATTTGATATTGCTTGATACCATGGTAGTATAACGCTCCACTGCTTCTGTATGCCTCCCAGAGTGAAATGCTTCATTCTATGCATTTTGTAGTCACGACATTTGGTAAAAAAATTTATATTCCATTTAAGCACAAATTTTCAGAATGGTGTTCTGAAGTCGTGTGCCAGAATTTATATTCCATTTAAGCACAAATTTTCAGAATGCATTCTCCTTTTACAGTTTTACCAGCCTTGATGAATGAATATCATGTGCTAGAGCTTAATGTTCAGAATGGTGTTCTGAAGTCCCTCTCGTTTCTATTCGAGTACATTGGTGAAATGGGAAAGGATTACATTTATGCAGTGACTCCATTGCTAGAGGATGCTCTCATGGACAGAGATTTGGTTCATAGGCAGACTGCTGCTTCTGCTGTGAAGCACATGGCTTTAGGAGTTGCTGGGTTGGGATGTGAGGATGCTTTGGTTCACTTACTAAATTATGTTTGGCCAAACATCTTTGAGACATCCCCACATGATATAAATACTGTTATGGAAGACATCACAGAAGAAATTTATTAAAATGCAAGAAAAGATCATCTGAGATCAAGTTTCCCTTTTGCCACATTAAACAGGATGTTTTTTTAACAAAATAACAACTCACAAATTCAAACTTCAATCATTCAGTCCCAAGGAAATATGGCATTTATATAATGTAATAGATAAGAATTAAGGGCAACAAAACAAGATGCTTACCTCTCTCCCGTCATAGTTGCAAACTATAGTGTTTGTCACCCCCATACGATGTAAATTTGCAGTAAGCGACTTGAGTCTTGACTCCTTCATCTCATTTGCATAAATTATACCTAGTAACCATTGCATTAGATAACAGGGAGGAAAGAGACATGGGATTCATATAGATACTAGGGCAAGGAGAAAAAAAATCATCAAGGACTTTGCCCAAAGACAATTTGTTGTTGGCAACTTTTTGAGTGCAAAAAAATGGTTATACATACATCAGCAGAATAAACATTATACACCAACTTGTCTGACATCAGAATAAATGAAGATTTGTATTTAAACTAAATTTTAAGAAAGTAAATGACCGCCATTTCGGTTGAAAATTCCTCCAAGTTGCTCAATAGACAGTGTCACACTTTATTGTGTAGGTGGAAATAGGGTAAGCCCGTATCTCCCCGCATTAACAAGTAAATGGACACAAACTCATGCATATATTCACTTGAATATGCTCAACCCAACAAGTTGTGAGTAAGCCATAACAACAATATGAATTAATTGAAAGCATAAGTGCAATTGAAATAACAGAGTCAAGATGGAAATCACTACACACCACTAACTTCTCTACATTACTGTGGAGTGATCTCTTTGACAAGTTTCCCTAAACCACATAAATACAAAACACGTTAGGGGAAAAAAGAAAAATGGAGAGACGGAGACAGAGAGAGGGGAAGGTAAAGAATTAGAAAACTCCAGTTCTCAAAAGAAAAATGTCCATACCTTCTAACAATAGATTTGGCATTTGAAAAATTGTTTGAGCATGTAAATCTCCCTCTTTCGAATTAATGTGTTTTTTTCTAGTTGTACAAAGAACGTTTAGCCTCTTGATTCTCAAACAAATACCTTAATGATTCTAGTTATGCAGACAGTCATTAAATCATGGGTTCATTAATCAGCTGAATGCAATAGCACAAATACTGGCAATAGAAGTATAGCTCACACCACAAAATAGACACTGCTCAAAATATTTGAATTTACCATTAAGCATATATTCTTCAAATCTAGCAAAGGTGTGCTCTGATCTTCTCTTATATCAGTTGTTTTCTCAATTGTTCCAAACTTCCCTGTTAAGGATGACTGACTGTTCAAGAAGCAGGATGTGATCATGTGATCTAGGTTGGCCATTAAGGATAAACAATGAATGACATGAAAGAACACACTAGTGCTCATCTATAAAGCGGATAGTGTTCCGGGTAGCATACCTTATAACCAAGTTGAAGTTAGTAGCCTTACGTCACCAGGAACAAGGTCGCTAGGTTCAGGTGGGGGTGGAAGTGGAATAAGGGGAAAGGAAGAACAAGAAAACATGCTAGCTAGTGATAATACCATGTAATAACCAGCCATATATTCAGGAGTGGCACCAATCGGAACTTGTGAATCATACACAACAAGTCCAACCTGCAAATTTGAAAGAAGGTTAATTAAAGCTAAACCAATACAAACAACACACAGATTGAAATAGAGAAAAGAGAGATTGAAATTGATCGAACCTTTAGACGAAATCGAACTGCTTGAAGCTCTGAGACGGCGTAGAGATCAAGCACAGAGAGAGAGAGAGAGAGATAAGAGGCAGGAGAACCGTCGTAGGATAATGATATTTACTGTCACAATAGGCAATGGTATGGAAAGAATGACTCAAATTTATTTGTGAGATGCCAAGCCATTGTTTGAGAATTTCTCTTTTTCATGAATAATGTTAGAGTTATCTAATTTTTCACCTAACAATTTACACACGCATTTACATAGATGTGGAATAACATTTATCTTTTCATATCTTGTGTTTGGTTCACGGATTTGAGAAGGAATTTGGAAAAGAAGATGGAAAAAGTAGGTGAAATGTGTGTTATGAGGTGTCTTGTATTCGCTATACCTGTAACCGCGGAAGGGGGGGCGGTAGGGGGGACGCACCGAAAGGAGAACCACTGTATTTCAAAAGACTATTAAATTCTTTCTTTTTCTTTTTCTAAACTCCTGAAGGTGCCATAATCTTGTAATTCAAATTTCAATAAACAGTTTGGAAGCAATCAGGTCAAGCTGCCAGTCCAGCCACATACAATTGTTAAGAATTTCGACTCAAAAAAGCCCTCCATGAAATTATTTTATTCCATATTATCCACAAATATGTCAGCATGGGTACATTTATGAACGTAGGTACCCGTGTGTAGTATAGAACAATCAGACTGCAACTAGTGTTATCTTTAAATTCTATTTTCTTTCTTCCATCATATAGTGTTTTAATATCAATATTTCATTTGATGAAGTAAAATTATTTACACCACCAAATTCTTTATACCTGTTTCTTCTCTTTTTCTTAAATCTCCTCATATGTGCATCTACAAAATAGACTAACAATATTTCAAGTGGCAACTCTAATTCTGCGTCCTCAGATCCAACTGCAAGGTTCACTAGAGACAAAGAAATGCATCCCATCCAGGTGATCAAAAAATAATGTTTCCCTTCCCAGTAATGTTATGATGATCCTCACAAATTGTAAATTTTACCCTCGTAGAATGATAGGTATACCATCCTGCTGTTTTGTACCCCATCCGTTCCTCAAGCGATAACGGATTTGGATTTTGGAACATGAAGACTAAATAGAGAAACAAAGAATGAGAATTTCCTCAAAAGCATCATCATGATCAGCAAATGAAACAAAACCATACTCGGCACCAATTGTCAATGTAGCAACTAATTAAAAGTCATAGAAACATAAAACATAATTGTAAGAAATATTTAAGGTGTTATAATGGAGAGGCATTAAGTCATGATGAGACAACCAGCATGGTGGGCTAGAGTTATTGACTGGCCACTCTATTGAAAACCAATAGTCCAAGTTTAAAACTTATGGTAGTAAGCACAGCTATGGACCAAGGCTGGGGTTGAGTAGCCTTAACAGATAAGGCATAACAGCTATTGAACAAAACCCATTTTGAATTCCATTCATAATGCCTTCAAACTATTGTGTTCATAAACATTAAGATAAATTCATTATACCTTACTATATTTATATATCTTAAGCTTCATATGTTCATTGTTACCACAGCATCCCTAGCAATTGAATTGAAATACACATTAGTATAGATATACTTATTTCCTTCAAACAGCAGTGTGAGAGTGTGTGTGTGTTTGTGTGTGTGTATGTGTGTGTGTGTGTGTGTGTGAGAGAGAGAGAGAGAGAGAGACAGAGAGACAGAGAGAGAGAGAAGTAACATAAAGAATGTTCAACCACAAGTAGAAATAGTCACATTGACCACTGCTCCAGGTATGAACCTTCAAATTAAAACATGGAATTCATTATTCATAAGCAATCACTGTAAATCTCGTAGGATTTGGGATAAATGACTATCAACAAAAATTACAGAACCTACAAACCAATTAAATCTTCAATGCACAGTTCAATTGAATTCAAAGGGTAGGGTTCCAATGAGGTTCTTCCATTGTTGTTTCAAATAGATGTTCAAAGTTTGTAATTCTGATGAAATTTAATGAGTGCAGATGTTCAATAAATAAGGGAAATTAGTAACAAAGAAAGAAAAACAGAGAAATTGAGTGAGAGAGAGAGAGACAGAGACAGAGGACCCATACTTGAAAATAAAAGTAAAAAAAATTAGAGAAATAATCGAATAATACTGGAAGCGATGCCGGCGGCACTGACAATTGCTCGGAGGAGAATGTGGGTGATGTCGGTGGCGGCACTGAGAGAGAAGAACGAGCTGAAAGAGGAGAAGGGGCGCTGTGTTTTGTGAGAGACAAATGGGGGGAAAACTGATAAACAAAAAAGAAAAAGAGGGGGCGAATTAGTAACCTAATTTTTTTTCATTACTGCCCAGTATCTCTCCCCCAAAAATTGATGACAAAATAATTTCCTCGCCAAAAGTCTTAAAATATTAAAAATTATTGGCGACGAAAATATATTCTTCATCAAATGATCTCAAAATATTTAAAATTAAGTTTTTTTTTAAAAAAAAATATTTAAAATTATTGATGACGAAAATGTATTCCTCACTAATAATTTTATAATTGGTGACAAATTTGTTTCTCACCAAAAGTCTCAAAATTTTGGCGCCACTCAAAAAAATTAGCGAAAAAATCTTCAGTGACGAAACTAAATTTTTCCTCACCTAAAAAGAAGTGTTAATTGATGAAAATAAATTTTGTCACCCATTATTTTTATTTTTTTATTATATGTGACAAAATTTTATAATTCTTCACCGATTATCCTTATTTAGTGACGAAATTTATTTTCTTCACTAGTTTTCGTCACCATAGGTTACTTTTGTTGTAGTGTAACGACTAAATTCATTTTTTGTCGCAAAATCTCAAATATATAACGACTAATTTTTTTAGTCGCCAAATGTCAATCAACGGTGACTAAAATATTAGTCGCTAAAAATATTAATTTGGCGACTAATTTTTTTTTGTTGCTGAAAATAAGTTTTTGGCGACTAAATTTTTGGTCGCCAAAAAATATGTGACCTTCCGCGACCAAATTTGTAGTTGGTCGGCAAATGCATACCACTTTCTGCGACCAACTCATTTTTTGGTCGCCAAAATATAACCTTCTGCGACCAATAATATTTGGTCGCAAAAAATAATGATCATTCGCGACTAATTAAAATTTGGTCGCCAAATGTGATTTTTTTGCGACCAAAATTTTTTTGATCGGCAAAAATAGTCGCAAAATGTGTAAATTCTTGTAGTGACACGACATAGGGAAATGAGGTGATGACTCGTGAATGAAGATATCCATAAATAGTAACAAACATATCCCATATTAGTTAGAAACTTTCTTAGTCCAAACACAACACATGCCCCCAATTGTCACGTTTTTCATGCGTCTCTACCACCTCCCTTTGACATCTTCAATTTAAGCCCCGGTGGTTGAGGAGCTTCATCTATTCAAATATATGATGCACAAAATATAATTTTAATTTTCTTTCTCTTCATATATATATATATATATATTAATTAATAATAATAGATGTAAACGTAATAGGTTTGTAATTGTACATCTTATCACATGTGAAATTTTAGTCGAATATTTTACGGAACAATGAAAAATGTAAAAACTTTTCACACTGTGTCCTTTCTACAATAAAATAGCCTAGATATATAAGCATATAACCAAGGGAGAATTACATGCAGATGAAAAAGGAAAAGGACTTACTTATACTCTCACAATCTTTCATTTGCATTCCACTATAGACATATTTGCACCGCCATATGTTAGGATTTTTTTTTTCCCCTTCTCTTACCTGCATATAATTCCCCTATAATCAAATGGGTAACACTGCCTTGTACTCTACACAATGGGGACCAAATCATGGGCCAAAAGACCACAAGTTTTGTGACGTACTAAGAGATAAGGTTAAATATGCACACCAGAATACAATGCATTTGTCATTCCATTTATTTTATTTTTGACAAAGGAGCCATGTCTAGGTGTCGCAAATTTTGTGAATCCAATGACTTCTTCATATAT